GGTAAGGCAATCCGTAACCAGTTGTGTGCATTTTTCGCATATTCAACCAACAGTACAGAATGTTCAAGTGTTAAAGAAGATGCGAAGAGGAGAAGTGCAAATGTGCATAGATCTACACAAACCCCCCAGGACAGAGCGTTTGTTCAACAAACAACGCGCTATGAAAAATGCTAAAAAGTTGCATCACAAGCTCATTGCTTTTGTCAGGAAAATGGGTATGTCTACCAGAACGAGGTGAAGTGCGTGGAAATGCAAGAGGAGATTCAGGACGGTTAAGCAGGGCGGTCGAGTGTAGCGGACTAAAACGGTTAGATCAGGCAAGGTAGATGCAGGAGAATTCGAGGCACAACGAACGGCGGGATACATTCACGAGAGGCCGAATGATTTCTGCTAATGTTAACCGTGTCAGTCTTGTCGGCCTTCTGATCGACGCGATTGTTGTCCATCCGCTGAAGAACCTTGTATGAGACATCGTACGGTGGAATAAGGAGATTGCGAATCGCTTTATGCTGGATGAAAACGAATGGATCTGAGGTTTTCATGCATAAACACACATTTGGATGTCAGCGAGCGGACATTCAACGCAGTTAAGCCATGCGTTTTTTCAAAAGCTGCACGAAGGTGCTTGGCATGTTGGTGCACATAGCAAAAGACTGCACGAATTCGCCGTGCAAACGGAAGGGCGTGCCATGTAGAAGTCCGGCAGCAGTGTATTGGATGTCCGCCTAGACAGAAGATCGGATTCCCAAAAGCCCAAAAGGGGGCAATTGCCGATCCGAAAAACATACTTCTGATTCGGCTGTTGGTGCGGACTTGATTTGATGGCGTAGACGCTCCACGCGGCCGTTTAAACCGAGGTGATATACATTGATTGTAGTGTACGCACACTCTAGCAATCTACGGAACTTACGGAAGACGCTGGGTGGACATTGTCTCCCGCGATCAGTACTAATAACGGCCGGCATACCAAAAGTCAATATCCAATGTGTCAGGAAACCCATGGCGATATTTTTTGTTGTGGTCTCCGAGATAGGAGTAGCAATCGGCCATTGCGTGAAACAAGTAACTGCTGTCAGAATATGCGCATCGTCACGTGAAGGGTTAAGGTACCAACTAAGTCTAAGTAAACTTTGTGCGATCGAGCCAACGAGGCGGCCAATTTACTCAGTGGACAAAATGTGTGGCAGCGGACCTTGTTTTTCTGGCGGGCAAAACAATGCCTAGTCTGAAGAATAATGCCAAAATTCATTTGCGACCAGATAATGCAGGCGCCGATTAACTTACGACAAACGCGGACAGCGGGATGCAACGGGGAATAGAAATGGTCCAGCAATACGTTGCGGTAGGATAATGGGACAAAAGATCGAGGGGTACCTGTGGATTAGTCACACAAATTCGTGCCTGGTGATGTCGGAGGTGGTGCAGCTCGAAGATGCAGAGTAGTAGAACTTTACCCGCAGCGATGGACGCGTCTGCTAGTCAGAATTTTGCAGACTTCGCTAGGTCGAAGTTGGGGGTTAACCTGTTGGTGTTTGGTCGGGATAGCGTAACAGCAACGACATTGTCGCTGCCAAGGACGTAGCGTATGTATGCACTAAACTGCGGAATGTAGTCTAGATGACCAGCAAACCTGGACATCCAGTGTGTCAGGAGATACTGAACTTCAACATCAACCTTTCAATCGACCTCAAACCTAACTGCGTAAGGAGGCCGTATCGGCGTGTTCAGACGCACTGCAGTGAACTGGAAGAAAAGGTTACCGAATTCCAATATTTTTGGCGGGTTTACATAGAAAATGGTCACCCGCGGAACCTCGTGGACCGTTACATGCGCAAACGGGACGAGCAAAAATATCGTACCGACCCCTGATTCTGGAAAACGATGCCGTACATAAAGAACGTCTCCGAAGCCCTTAATCGCTTTCTTGCACGACTTGACTTTGGAGTTACACACAGAGTAGCAGCCGCCATAATGCGCGGTGTGATGAGAACAATAAACGCACTGCCACGGTAAGAAACATCTGGAGACGTTAACCGGATCCGGTGCAGTTGCGGGCAAAGCAACTACGTCGGAGAATATGGAGGACTGCTCCGGGCGCGAATTGTGAAACATGGTGCCGAGTTGCGGAGAAATGACGCCAACTCTAAGGTCGCGGTCCATTCGACGAAACCCGGCCACACGTTGGAGTTCGATGTGGCCGAATTTCTCGTGAGGGGGAATTATCACGCCGGCCGCGAGTTGCTTGAGTTATGCTGGACGGGATCTCAGTCTATCAACAAGTGCAATGACATCCCAATCCATATTCCGTGATGAAGCATAGTCTGGCCAATGTGCATAACCCATCGGGGAGGGCCAAGGCTGGTGAGTCAGATGGACGAACAATCCTCACGTCGGCATCCTACACGGGTTATAAGATTTCACCACTTAAGCACTTGCATGTCGGCCATCAAGCAGTTAGCGCCCCAGCGGGCAAAAATTATTGATGAAGGGGAACGCGGTTAATTGCTGTAGGTATGCGGTAGCAAAGCGACTGCATCCTATAAATTCTGCAACTTCCTGTGCACATGTCCCCCTTTTCTGCCACAGTCTCTGATGATGGATTCAAGTGAGAATCCGAAACGTCAGGCGAATAAAATCCTTGTTCCAGCTATCGCTCCTAATTCCAGTTAACTAGTTTCTGGAACTCGCATCTTCGCTTGTATCGGCAACCTGCTGTGGTGTTATTTTTGTAGGTGAAAAATCCTGGCTGAACCAGAGAGGGTTGTGGCACGCCTAGGTGCGGGGACGTCCGTGCCGCCACATGCGCCCTTCTCCGCCTCTGGTTTTTTAGACCCTGTCATGACGCCGGGTCCAGGTGATGAGTGTCGCTGCAGATCGGGTATTTATTCATTCAGGCATGACCAACTTCTTCGTGGTAGGTGGTTGCCTGTCCGTGACACTTATCGCCCATACGAAGCTTTTTTGCTTCGGGAAGTCAATGGATCGATGTGCGCCCATTCTTGAGTGAATATATATATATGCAAAATGTTGTTACCGACAAAGACAAGGGAGACTAGAATTCCGATTTATGGTGAGCACCCCCTTTGCAATTATACATATACATATATATTGGCAGAATGGTATTTGCGACATTCTGCCTATATCATGCGCCGCTGTGCGGCTGCTGATTGGGCTGCAAAGAGAGCCCTAAAGCACAACGGGACGACTGAATCCCGTAGAAGACGATAGGTGAGCGCCTCTCTAACGCATTATATATGTATTGGAAGGTAAGCATCCCAAGAAATTTAATTTGAAGGCAGAGGCGTTCTTTGGGAAAAGGCACTTTATTGCGTGAATTTTCGACGCTGGTTCCCCAGGTCGTCGTCAGACGCAGACTGAGAGTAAATGTGCCGGCAACAGTTAACATCTGGCAGTGCACGCAAAAAATCGATAGTCGTTCGCGTTTGCGCCCGTGAGCGGCCGCTATTTGCGTCAATCCGTCCCGATTGGTCGGCTATTTGGATAGAAAGGAAGTCATCTACAAGATCCCATGTGAGGCCTGTGATGCAGTTTATCGTGTTCAAACAGGAAAATCCGTCTCTACACGCATTCACGAACACCAACTTGCAGTAAAGAGGCGAGACCACCTGTCTCAAGTAGCCATGCATACCCTGGACACAGGGCATACGTTTGCTTGGGATAGAACACACATTGTCGGTGCCTGCCCCTTCAAGAAAGGCCGAGAGTTCCTTGAGGCCATGCACTCGGATGAATTGTGCATAAACCGTCATATCGAGTTGGTCGCCGCGTACAAAAGTCTCAAGGAGAAATGGAAGAGGCGAGAGCCAATCGGGACGGATTGACGCAAATAGCGGCCGCTCACGGGCGCAAACGCGAACGACTATCGATTTTTTGTGTGCACTGCCAGATGTTAACTGTTGCCGGCACACTAACTCTCAGTCTGCGTCTGACGACGACCTGGGGAACCAGCGTCGAAAATTCACGCAATAAAGTGCCTTTACCCAAAGAACGCCTCTGCCTTCAACGTATATATATATATATATATATATGAGATGATACCGACAAAGACAAGGGAGACCGGAATGGCCATTTCTGGCCTATTAGCCGTCATCAGCCAGTCATACCCAACCCCAAGTGTGGATCACTTGAGATTCGAACCCGGGATCTTTGGTCATGGAGTTGAACGCTCTACCATTGAGCCACGGGCCCGTTGTCCTGTCG